GAAAACTACACACTTCTGATACATTCTTAGGAGGCTCCCACTCAACTATGGCTTGGATCTTTTAAGGGTCAACTCTAATACCGTCTGCTCACATGACATGTCCTAAAAATACTACCTGTGAGAGCCAAAACTCGTACTTTCCAAAATTTCCATACAACTAACAGTCTTGGAGGGTTTGAGGAACAATACAAAGATGTTGATCATGCTACCATTCCGAACGGGAGTATATTAGGATGTCATCTATGAACACTACTATAAATTAATCCAAGTAAAGGTGAAAAATTCGATCAATCAAGTTCATGAATACCACCAGGGCGTTAGTGAGTCCAAACAGTATTACTAGGAATTCATAATTATCGTACCTTGTCCTAAAAGTTGTCTTTGCTATATCGGTATCCTTGACTTTCAACAGGTAATATCCCGACCTCAAGTCAATCTTGTAAAACATATACACTCCCCTAATCTGGTCAAAAAGACCGTTTATTATCGGGAGTTGGTAACGATTCTTGATGGTTAAGTTGTTTAACTATCTATAGTCGATGCACAACCTTATTTACCCATAATTTTTCTTGACAAACAAGACTGACACTCCTCACGGATAAATGCCTGGTTGTATATGTCTTTCTCTAGCAACTCTTAAGTTTGAGCCTTTTACTCTTTTAACTCTGTTGGTTCCATACGGTAAGGAGCAATGGACACTAGAGCTGAACCTAACATTACCTCAATGGCAAACTCTAAATCGCGATCGGGCGATAGGCCTGACAACTCCTCTAGGAATACATCAGGGAAATCTCGCACTGCTTGGATGTACGTGAGTGTTGAAACTGAAATTTGAGTATTAATCACATGAGCTAAGAAGACCTCACAACCTCGGTCGATCATCTACTGGGCTTTTATGGATGACATTATTTTTGACTGACTTGATTTCTCACTGGTCATCACTAGCTTGGTACCATCATTCGTATTGAGCTTGAGCTTTCTAAGTTTTCATTTCAAACTAGCATCGTGTTTGGACAACCAATCCATACCTAGGATCATGTCGAACTCTCGGAAGTGCAACTCTATTAAATCCGCCAAGAAGGTATGTCCTTGGATTTCTACTGGGCATCATCTATGAATTTTGTCTAAAAGAACATATAGAGCTAGAGGGCTTGATATACGAACTCCTATATCTATGTCTTCTCTAGGATTCTTATTTCTTGAACTAGGTCATAGCATATGTAGGAGTGGGTAGAACCATGGTCTATCAATGCGGTAACTGGAATGGAAAATATTGTGAAAGTACTTGAGATCATGTATGTCGCATCGCACTCCTCGTGGGCTCTCACCGTATACTATTTAGAGGCTACCCTCAGCTCTGCACTGACCATTGATCTAGTTGTCCCTCTTCTTTGCTATCCACAATCGTACTACCACCATTCGTTAGCCCTCAGCCTCTTTAAACGGACGAGGTTGAACTCTGATTCATCGTCGAAACCACTGCTTGAGCTCCCGGACAATCACGAGCAAAGTGACCCAATGCGACACAACTGTAACAACTCTTTGATCTCTGCTGGCACATCCCTATGTGCCTCTTCCTGTACTGATCACAAGCAGCCCTACAGACCCCATAGTCAAACTATTTCAACCTTTGAGCATAGTTGTATAGGATCTCACCGTCGGCACAAGTTCAGACCCATCCCCTAGACCATGGCTTGCAGCTTCTCTTATAGGCAGATTAGCAATTCCATCTTGTACCAGCCCTTCATAAACCCTTTGAGTCTCCATCACTACTTCAGACACATTTCCAACCACTGCAGTACTGCTCTGATTGAAAATGCCCGCTACCGCCACCATAGTCGGGGGCTCCCCGGAGTTAGAGCCACCAGAGAGCTTGCTCTCACCATGGCCATGGTAGATGTATAAACATCAGACATGAAACTCCAAAACCTTAGCAAAACCCTAAAAGATTCATATTTCTTTAAAGCAAAACCCTAAAATATTCCTATTTTACACAATCATTTTTTTTTCAAAAATTTGAAAGGTAATAAATATAATTGAATATATGTAACTTTAAACTAAAAAATAAGTCTATTCGTTAAGTGACATGATTTATTATAAAAAGTCTATTCACCAAATGACATGACTTATTATAAATAACATCAATTTTATTCAATTATTTGTTATTTTTCCAACAAAAACTAATTATAACTATTTAATTATTTTCTATTCTTATATAAAGTTAAAAATATAATTTAACAATTATATAAATTAAATATAGATGTTGGTGGAATTACTACAAATTCTTAGCTTTACTTGTCGACTTAATAGTGGTTATTTTTATCAAGGTCATAAGTTAAAATTCAAATTCAATTATTCTAAGTATTAATTTAAATATATATAAATTATATAAATGATCACTAATATTTGTGTAAGTTTTCATTTTTTCTATTAATGTTTTAAAACTAATGATTTGGTCACTAACATTATTAATTGAGAAAATAACCTCAGTAACCAAAAATGCCTTATAATATACGATTTTAACCAACTTTTTTTGGATTTGCCAAAATGACCAACTAAATCACAATGCGATCGATAATTTGCAACGCGATCTCCGGCATCGCAAATCAGTTTCCAGATTCGCAACGCGAACTTTGACTATCGCATTGCGATTTACATATCGCATTGCGATAGTCCAAGTTCGCGTTGCAATTTATTCCAAGTTCGTTGCGATAGTCGAAGTTCGCGTTGCGATTTATTCCAAGTTCGTTGCGATAGTCCAAAATCGCAACAATGGTATTGCATTTGTTTCTTAAGAATTTTCTCTAAAAAGATAGTATTCGCGCGGACGTGTCGAAGACACGTATTACCACGACCACGACCACGACCACGACCACGACCACGACGACGAGACGAGACGAGACGAGACGATACGATACGAGACAGACGGCGGCGGCGGCGGCGCGCGAGAGTCCCCCTTGTTCTCTATTACTCAACAAGGAAGTGGGAAAGCCAATCCTTAAATATCATTCCCAATAGTGTTTCCAATACTATGTGGGATTGAGCATTACCAACACTTGTTCCCAATACTATGTGGGATTGAGCCTTAAATAGTGATATTATTTTTGAATGTTTTGCTTAAAATTGCAATAATCGCGATTGATTGTAGATTGATATTTAATTATGACATATTTAATCGTATAATACTAATGCAATTGGTTGCTGATTCAGTTGTTTTAAGGTGCATGATTGTTAATTGTTTCCTGAATAATCACATTATATTGGAAACAAGTGTTGGTAATACTCAATCCCACATAGTATTGGAAACACTATTGGGAATGATATTTAAGGCTTGGCTTTCCCACTTCCTTGTTGAGTGATAGAGAACAAGGGAGACTCTCGCGTGCCATCACCGCCGCAGTCCGTCTCGTCTCGTCTCGGGTCGGGTCGTGGTCGTACGTGTCTTCGACACGTCTGCACGAATACTATCTTTTTAGAGAAAATTCTTAAGAAAAAAATGCAATACCACCAGTTGTTGCGATTTTGGACTATCGCAATGCGAACTTGGACTATCGCAATGCGAACTTCGACTATCACAATGCAAACTTGGACTATCGCAATGCGAATATGTAAATCGCAATGCGATAGTCCAAGTTCGCATTGCGATAGTCCAAGTTCGCATTGCGATAGTCGACTATCGCATTGCGATTTACATATTCGCATTGCGATAGTCCAAGTTCGCATTGCGATAGTCCAAGTTCGCATTGCGATAGTCGAAGTTCGCGTTGCGAATCTGGAAACTGATTTGCGATACCGGAGATCGTGCTGCGAATTATCGATCGCATTGCGATTTAGTTGGTCATTTTGGCAAATCCAAAAAAAGTTGGTTAAAATCGTATATTATAAGGCATTTTTGGTCAATGAGGTTATTTTCTCTTATTTATTTATAACAAATCGATCTCTCGACGTTAACAAATTGAAAACTTACTCAACCATGAGTGATCATTTGTGTATTTTACCCTTTAAATATTTGTTGTTAATATGTTAAGAAAAATTCTGAATAAATACTATCTTGTAATCATTCTAGACAATTAAAAAATTGTTTTGGTGAAATTACACTATATATCATGCTTAGTTCAATGGCCAGACACCTAACGCATACATTTTTATGATTTTTTTGATAAATTTGGGGTGAATACAATGTAGTATTTGTTCATAGACTCTAAATCATTTGATAATAAACGCTCATATCTCTACATACGTTGTGCTCAAACACAAGACCTCAAAGACTAACAACAAGTCCCTTAATTACTAACGATTTGTTCGCGCAAGAGTTTTTATGATTTTTTTTATAAATATAGTGACACATATCACCATCTTATTAGTAATAATAGTTGAGTGACCAAAATAGAGACATATCGTATTAGTAATAATTAGGGATGAGCATGAGTCGGGTCAGATTTTCGGTCCCTGATTTGACCAAAAAAATATACATCTTTCACTCGACTCGAACTCGACCCATTTTTTTAAGATAAAATTCAAATCCAACTCGACTTGACCGGATCGAAAATAATATATTTATTAAAAATATTACTTTTTATTCAATAAAAATATGGAATTAATTGAAAAAAATAATATATAGAGAGGTATTATTGTAATTATCCCTAAATATATAAAGTAAGCTTACCAATTTTTTTGAGTAGTGTCGGGTTAAGAATTTTACACCCTAAACTCAAATCCGACCCGACCTAAACATAACCTCTAAAAAGTTCAACATGAACCCGATTTTTTTTAAAAAAATCCGACCTGATCGGGTTGAAATCGTGTTCAGGTTCATACCCATCCCTAGTAATAATACCTGAGTTACCAAAATAAAAATACTAGAATAAATAGGTGATTAAATAAATAATTTACCTATAAACATGTGGAAAAACAAAATTAATTATTACATGTATAAAAATAAAAAAAGGAGACCCACAAGAACCACAACAGTACTTTGCCATTGCAGTTTTGTTCAGAAGGAAAGTGTAAACAGATTTCTGGAATCCCAGCAAGAAAGCAAAAAAAGGTTACCAACAAAGGGAACTCGGCACCGCGACGCTGAACGAGTCAATTCAGCGGCACTCGTCGATCGATTTCAAGCTTCATCATCTGATCATCTATATCCCTGATAGTGAGTTAAAATAAGAAAAAATGAAATAATAATTGGCAAATTTTATCAATTTGATTGATTCCAAAAGGCTTTGTTCATTTACTTTTTCTTTCCCCTTAATTTGGTAGGATCCAAGGCGGTTTTCGGAGATTGTCGGTGTTTTTTTTTTAGTTTTTAGAATATATTTTTTCTCTCTAAATAATTATTGATGTTGGATTTTCGGGAAGGAAGAGTGAGGGGCTAAGGTTATGGTGGGTTAGGATTAGGGTTTTTGGGGGTGGGTTTGGAGAAGGATGAAAATTCTGAGCTTGAAGAAGGAGAAACTTGCTATTACAGGGATGATGATGATGACACTATTAACCCCGACACCTTACCTTGTAAGGGTTCAAATTTTATTTTCTTAAGGAAAATTCTCTGGATTTTACATCGGTTTTATGTTTAAAACTTGGGATTATGCTTTAGTTGATGCAATTTGGGTCTTTTGATTGGAATTATGCTGATTCTAAGTTTGATTAAGCATTTATCCCACTTTGTAGGCAATGCAGTTCTATCAAGCTTTATTTCAAGGAATGGTTAATTTGAAATTATGCTTAATTTTGGGTTTATTAGACATAAAGCGGGAATGAACTAATCACTATCTAGAATAACTTCGGACTCTTGTTGTGAATTAGAATCCCACGAGGCTTTAAGTTTGTGGTGTTTGACCATGGATTCATCAAGTGTTGAAGTTGACTTTAGAGGATGAGATTATTCAGCTCGCAGACTTAGTAGACAAACATGTTACTTTGACATGCTCATGTAGATAAATGATTGGTTAAGATAGGTTCATTTTTCACCAATCACCACTAGGAATATAAATGAACAACTAGAAGAATATGCTTTAAAGCCCCATTCTGTGTCTTTGTTCAGTTTTGTATTTTTTTATGCAATGTGATAGTATTAAAATGTTGTCCTGTTTCTCAGAAATAATTTGATAAATGATAAAAGTCCTTTGCGTGGATGTGGATGATCTTTGAAACTTCCTCAACATTTAGAATTTTTTATGTTGATGATAGTGTTTGTTTGAATATGCGATGTGATTAACTTTGTCAGTTCTCTTAATTCATTTGATCTAATTTATATTTGCAACATTAATCTAAAATTAGTTCAATACGATATTACTTTTTGTATAACCACCAGTATCCTACCCATTGGTAGACACTTTCATATGTTATTATTGAGCTCCTCAAAAGAATGAACTTTGAGATGATATTTAGAGTCGGCTTCTTGTGCCCATTTAATTGAATCTGGTCAATATATAAGCCTCTTTGTAGACAGCCCAGTTCTCTTAATTCATTTGATCTAATTTATATTTGCAACATTAAGCTATAATTAGTTTCATATGATATTACTTTTTGTATAACCACTGGTATCCTACCCATTGGAAGACACTTTCATATGTTATTATTGAGCTCCTCAAAATACGAACTTTGAGATGATATTTAGAGTTGGCTTCTTGTGCCCATTTAATTGAATTTGGTCAATATAAGCCTCTTTGTAGACAGCTCAGTTCTCTTAAGCGTTGCTGGAAGGGATGGTTAATATGAAATTATGATTAATTTTGGGTTTATTAGACATAAAGGGTAATAAAACTACTAACTAGAATAAGCTGTGCCTCTTTATATGAATTAGAGTCCTAATAGGCTTTAAGTTTTATGGTGTGTGTCCATCGATTCACCGAAGTGTTGAAGTTAACTTCTGAGGAGGGGATTATTATGTTCTTTGCAAACTTAGTAGACAAGTGTTTTTTTTACATGCTTTTATAGATAAATGCTTGGTTTAGCAAGGTTATTTTTTCATCACTAGGAATGTAATAGAAATAGTGTTAGAATGTTGTCCAGCTTCTTGGCAACAATTTGATGCATGATAAAAAATTTGTTGCCCGGATGATCATTGAAACTTCCGTCACATTAAGAGTTTTTTTTCCCTTGTTGATGATAGTGTTTATTTGAGTGCAAAATGTGGTTAACTTTGTCAATTCTCTTAATTTAGTCTATCTAATTCATTTTGCAATATTAAGGTAATCTTTCCTGAAAAGATTGGACTTGGAGATGATACAAATACTTGTGCCCGATGTAACTCAATATATCAGCTTTAACATAAAGTTTTCAACATTCTCTGTGCTATTCCATTAGTAATGTGGGATTTCATTTCTTAAAGGATGAGAAGATAAAAAACGTTCTGGGCCATTTTCAAAAAGATTTTGAAGGCGGTGTTTCAGCAGAAAACTTGGGTAAGTGTTTGATCACGGTTTTATAAACTTTAAATACTATTGCAAGCTTGATGTTTGAAGTTGATGATGAAGACTAAAATTTCTTTACAGGGGCAAAATTTGGTTTGTATGGCTCTTTTTTACCTACCTATGAACGCTCTCCTTCAAGTTTCTCACATCCAAAGACACCACAGGGAAACTCCAGCACACCAAAGTCTACAAACAATTTATCCATGGAGGTATATGATCAATATCTGTTCGATATTTTGATCATTTCTTTGGAAGATGATGTACTTAGCTGTTGCCTAGAAATCTTCTGAAATTCTTGTTTACCTGTTTGCTGTGGATTCTGGTATGATACAGGGTGCATTCCAGAATTTGAAAGCTCTTCCAAATGCACCCCTATCTGCGAGACATGGGAATGCTTCTTGCCCAAGTGGCATTATTGCAGCCAAACATGATTCTCTTTTGTCCTTTAATCATGTTGCTGAAAAGCCCGCCTTAAAGGATGCAAGTTTTGAAAGAGCAGATATCCTGACTGACCGGAGGACACTAAAGGTCCGAATTAAGGTGGGATCTGATACCAAAGTTCAAAAGAACTCTGCAATCTATAGTGGTCTTGGGCTTGATGATTCTCCAACTTTGTCATGGGGTAACAGTCCCGATGAAACTGGAGAAACAGTGACAGCTTCTCCAGGAAATACAAATGAATCATCTAATAAAATTCTACAGGTAGAGGTTCTCTTGGTTGTTTGCAATGTCTTCTTGTGAACTAAGAAGGATGTGTTAATGTTTTTATGCCTTTATACAGGTTATGACTTCCTACCATGTCCCTTGTGGTGTACTCAAATCTCCTCTTAATGACAGTCTGCTATGCTTATTAAGAAACGAGAAGGGAGGGCCATCTAGAGATAGTACAACTATCACCTTGCTTAAGGCATGTCGAGAAAATTCTTCTGGGTTAATAGATGAGCCCATTTTTGGTAATGGAAAAGAACTCAGTGAGCAGAAAACAGAATTTTTAATTGGGATAAGCAAGAAGGTGCTGGAATCAAAGCATGGGAATCGTGTGAAGGTTGGAAATGATAAGAAGTTGCTCACAGGAAAAATGCCAGAAAACAAGATTGCAGGAGGAGAGGAGTTGCTAGCAGATGACTTGAAACACACAGCTCTATCTAATTCAGTGGATGTTTCCGACTCTATGGAGGCCACACCTAGGGTATGTGATCTTTCTGTGGAGGCTAATCAGAATGGATCAAGAGGTGGATTATTTTCCTCTGATTCATCAAAGAAGGATTCTTTGGAGTTAGTGTTTGGTGGGAGCAGATCTAGTGGCAGGAAGAAAAAAAGGGATAGTCAGCGCAGTTTAGTTGAAAAGGTTTGGGAACAGAGTGTAGTAAGTTCTGATAAGAACGCACTTGACCTTGGGGATTATGGTGGCAGTAAATGCAACCAAAATACTGGCCATTTAAAGTGTAAGGAAGATTCAAAAACAAAGGTTGGCCAGGAAGCTACATTTCATGTTCAGAATGACATAAGTATTCCCTCCGAAATGGAAAACACATTGTTTGTGGGCAAAAAGAAGTCAAAAGGTAGCAAAAATACTGGACCAATTGCTGATTCAATGAAGGAAAGTTTGAGACTTGATGTGGGTACAACACCTAAAGATACTACGAGTTCTAGTCAGAGTTTTTCTTCACGTAAAAGTAAGATGCATAAGGTGAGAAAATGGATTTGTCAATGAGTCTTGTTCACAATAGGCCAAAAGGTTCTGGTCCAATGGATTTTGAGAGGGAGAAGAATGGCTCTTTGGAAAAGTCAAAAGAAATATTTAATGATGGAACAGTTGGCAACCTGCTCTTGGGAGTGGATGCTCCAGGTGTGGTTCACCTCACTGATAAGACAGTTGCTTCGCAGACGACAGCATCAGCAGCAGCTGCTCCTGTAGTCATAGAAGAAAACTGGGTTCAGTGTGATCGTTGTAACAAGTGGCGACTTTTGCCTTTTGATGCTAGACCTGAGCAACTCCCTGAGAAGTGGTTGTGTAGCATGCTTAACTGGCTGTAAGTTCCTTAGATGAGAATAAAATATTGTTTTTGTTGCATATGCTTTTCCCTTTGTTTGAGTACATCCTATGTGCATTTATCTGCTAGTACACCTGATGCTCCTTGACATGCAAATAAGTAGAAACACCTGGTGAATGATGGGTGCATTCATAGATGTGTTGTGTATTTCTGTGAACATATGCTTGTAATTTTTCTTTTTCTGATTTTTGTTATTGAAATTGTTGTATAGGCCGGGAATGAACCAGTGTGACATTGGTGAGGATGACACGACAAAAGCTCTCAATGCATTGTACCAGATTCCAATTGCTGAGAATCAAAATAACTCACAAAATCATGCAATGGAACCATGTCGGCCCATCTTCAACATCTTGATCAGAAAAACTCTAGTTTCATTTCTCATGTATTATCAATTCAAGGCAAGAACCATGACCCGAAGGAAGTGCGCAAAGCAGGTAACAGTGGCCTGAGTCTGATGCCAAACTCTAAAAAGAACCAGCAGCAGGAATCTCTGAAAAGTAGGAGCTTAAAGAACATGACCCAGGTTCCTACTGAATCAAATCTCGCAAAGAAATCCATCTATCATCAAAATGAAAAGAATCCAGTTGCAGGTATTTAGTCCACTTGAGAGCCGAAATTATACTATCAGTCAAACATTTATATTGAGAGACTATTTGTTTACTTTTTTGGGAATCTGTTTGATTGTAGGAGTGACCAAGCAAGCAAAGATGAAAAACAAGAGAGACTCTGATCTGTATGTGAATGAGGATTCAAAGAAAGCCAAAACAGAAGTTGTATGCACTACTTATAAACATCAGATTTGTAACTTGGATATCAGAATGGTGGGCCTTAATACAAGCACTGGCTTGCCAACTCAAGTAAATGGAAGAAGTCTGCAGAACCATAACAAGTGCTCTAATTCTGGGGATGTAAAGCATGATTTGAAAGAAAGATCCGTAGTTTCTGTTAAGAAAGTTGTGGGTCAAATTCAGGCCTCATCATCAGATGGTATGCCATTAGATATGAAAAGAAGAGATAAGATGGTTTTTATGAAGAAAAGGAAATTGGAGGACCGAGAGGACAGTCAAAACAGTCGCAAGTTATATATGAAGGAAGAAAGTAGTGAGAGTGGATTTAGGTATGAAAAGAAACCACGAGTTTCAAAGATTGAGAGGAAACAGTCCCTTAGAAATGATGGCGATGACACATTAAACAAGAAAAGCATGGATCATTTGGTTGGAGGCACTGAAGAAGTCAGAAGTATTGATAAGAACCAGCAACTTAGAAAACACAAGAACAAGTCCTCTTCTCACAAAAGTTTGGATGGCCTTGATTCATTGAGAAGGGATTCTGACGCTGGACAAATTTTGAAGGCAGCAATGTCTAGCTCTTCAAAGGTTTCTGGTTCTCATAAAACGAGATTTAACTTTGAAGAAGCAAGGGGTTCACCAGTAGAGTCAGTTTCTTCATCTCCCATGAGGACCTCATATCCAGAAAAGTTTGCATCAAGTAAAGGGGAGCCTTCAGGGAAGGATGCTGTTGCAAATACTGGCATTCCCCCTAGTGGCAATTCTGGAAGATTTTGGGATGGAGAAGGTACTGTTGAGCTTATTCAATCTGTTCCAGAAAAGAAACAGAAAGTTTCAGGTGATTTTAAGCCTAAATCACATAAATCTTCTACCCTGGATATAGGTTCTATTTGCAAAATCAGCATTAAAACTAAACTTTCTTCTAGAATGGGGAATAGCCATTTGTGCAATGGTGATACTCGTTTTGCAGAGAATGGGCAGCATGCTCTAGAACGGCCCCATGGTGAGGATAGAGTGAACAAGGAGGTCCATGTCAATGCGTTTTCTCAGAAATGTGATAAGGGTTCACAGACAAAGAACAGTGAAAGAAGTTCTGTTGCGGATAAGATGAAGGTTAATGATCTTGCAGATCAACAGGAAGATTTGTGTTCTAGAAAGAACATGAAGTATCAGTCAGATATCAGCCACAAGGGTCATGGATGTCTTCAAGAAACAGCTGCTGATTGCAAACTCAATTTTCCAGAACCTAGATAGGGTGAGAAGAACAATGTTGAAAGGAGGGACCCTTCAGGATATTGGTCAAGTGGCAGTAGAAAGGAAGCCCGATCAAATAAACAGCATGATGCTGATGCAAAATCTTTTGCTGCGTGCAGCACAAAGGGGAAGACTGCCCCTGAGAAAAACCTGATCCAGGATATTGATGGTCACACTAAATTAATGCAAGTGGAGACAAGAAGTGGAATCTCAAAATCCTCCTTGCATTCTGAGGTCGAGAGCCGGCAAGAAATAAAGGGCCATCTGACAGCACCGGAAGCCGAACAGGGAGTTGTTTCTGACGGGCTTCCAGTTGATTCGTCTAAGGATATAAAATTGACTGGAAAGGCTGGCAGCAGGAATGGATCTAACAACAGTTCGGGGAAGCACATACCTGATTTGTGTAAGGCTCACAGTCCTGTAAGAGTAAATTCCTCCAACCAGACAGAAAATAATGCCCTGAATGATGCCGAGAAGCATAGAAATTATGCTGAGAAGCTTAAGGTTTGTTTTCAGATTTTTTTTTCTGACAGTTATGCCACTTTCTAAATGTTAGTTTTTTTTTATAGGAATCTTTCTAAATGTTAGTTAAAATGTTGTAACCATTCAAACTATTTACTACCATTTGATTGTCTTCTTTCAGAGTTCGGGTTTTGTTTTTGAAAGCAATGAGATTTACTTAAAAGCTGCTCTTTAAGTTTCTTGGCCTTGCTGCCCGGTTAGAGACTAGCAATAGTGAGATTGGTAGACATGGCAACACAAACCAAATGCAAGTTTATAGCACTGCCACTAAACTTTGCAAGTATGTAAATGCTTCAGAAGTAATAGTAAACTGTTCTTTTGTGAACTTCATTAGATTTGTTTGTTTATATTTACATTAGGAGTGTTTATAGATACCTATTATCTTTGCTCAATGCTGACTTCTCAAGTTCACAGAATGTGTGCCCAAGAATTTGAAAAAAGTGGAGAAATGGCTGCTGCTGCTTTGGCCTATAAATGCATGGAGGTAGCATACATGAGGGTTGTTTACTGCAAACATTCTACTAGCTTCCGTGACTGGAATGAGTTTCAAGCAACTCTACAGATGGTTCCCCACGGTAAGCAGGCTTGTTTTTCTCTGCATGATTGATTGCACATAGGTTCTATTTGATAATATCTACTCTTAAAGTTTGAATCATATGCAATAATTTTTTTGCCTCATGTTCCAGAGAGTACCATTTCTTATTCCTTGGCTAGTTTAATTAGAAGATTCACCTAACTGTATAACTTGAGACAGCATATTACAGCACAAAGGTGGTTCTCTCGCCCCCTGGGTGGAGGACCGCCAGGGCTTTGGTTTATATTTAAGTGCAGTCAGCAGTGCTTGTTTCTGGTTTACGTCCCACTGAAGCTGTAGCATGTGGATATTTCCTGATGGGGCTACAGATCTAATTCTTTTTTCATAACATGCTCTAACATAAGCTACACTGTAACAGATGCTTTATTTTTTGTTAAGATGCAACCTTATTTTTTCGGATGGCTTCTTTCAGGTGAATCTCCATCATCTTCTGCATCGGATGTTGATAATAGCTTAAATAATCAACATACTGTGAAAAGGCTCAATTAGCCAAGGTTTTAGTTTCACATGTTGGTGGGACCCATGTCATTGTTGCTAGAACCGCCCAAGTTTTGTTCGGCTGCTTGACTTTGTAAGTTGATTAAGACTCTTCCAATTTTTTTCTTCTCTCTTGCTTTTCTATTTAAATCATTTAATTTATATGTTTAGTAGGCGGTGATTTACTGAGGTTTTACATCAGTAACTACTAGAAACTGCCTATAAGCTACATTTTTCTTGAGGAATATTCCTAGGTAGATGAACACCAGCTATTGTGGACAACTCCTAAGTTGTTATGAGGTAGTTGGATTTGGACATGTGATTTTGGTGGAAATACGATGATATTTGAATGAAGAAGTGTAAAACAGGCTAATTTGTATAATTCTAATCATTGTCCCCCAGCAGTACAATTTGCATTATCCGACTTTGGTTCTTGGTAGGTATAGGTTCTTCCCCAACCAGCTGTTGGAAACCACACTTTTGATTGCTTGAATGGTCTTAGATGGTAAAGGGAGGAAGTTAATAAGCTTGTTTTTCTCGAGTCTTGAATGTCCAGTAGGCTGATGTCTGCAGTCTGAACCCACTTCTTGTTGTCCTCATAGGCTTATTATCTGTTTCCCTTCTTAATTGTCACGTTCCAATTTACGAGGGAAACTGTATGTCTCTGAATGTCATGTTAACCTAATAAGTTAGTTTGAGTGGGTAAATGCTTTAACATATTCCTGTTCTGCAGACACAAGACGTAGGTTTTAATATGGAGGCTACAAGAAAATCCCAAAATGCTTTTACAGCTGCAACTGCATCTCTGGAAAAAACACAAAATACCGAGTGTATTATTTCTGTTAGAAAGGCAATCGATTTCAGCTTCCAGGATGTGGACGGATTTGTATGCTTGCTTGAGCAGGCTATGGAGGCCATTAGTCGTTCTGGTTTAGGTGGTGGTAGAGAATAAGTTACCCATGTATATACTGTCTTTTTGGTTTATAACCCCCAATGTCCGATGGAGGAGGAAGGGGAAAAAGATGCCTGCTTAGATGTGCATTTCGAAACAAGCAAAGACCTGGTCACTGAAAGCATGTTGCCTCTCTGTACATGTGTACAAAGTGAGTCTAATCTGCAAATTTTGGTAATGTATATTTCAATTTTTTTCACCACCTTGACATTTTTAAGCACGCTCACCCTTTAAGTTTAGTGGGTTGGCAAAAAAGGATAGAAATTCTAGTTTTATTGGGCATGAGATTGGGAGTTGGATATGTAAGATGTATAGTAGTATTTTTGGGGTGGAGATGATTAGGCAACCATTCTGGGGAGGTTGCATACCGATTTTGTGTTGATGAGTTTATGCATCAATGTTCTCTTTACAATTTTGGAATGGTAAAGTGATATATTCTTTTTGGAAGTTACTTCTGCTTAAACTGTAACATCCTAATCTAATCCAACTGAATATTGATGGATTATGATGTTACACGAGACCAGAAGATCGATAGATTATGATGTTACACGGGACCAGAAGATCGATAGATTATGATGTTACACGGGACTACTGAAGTGGTTAACCCAAAAATTTTCTTTTAAAAACAATTATAAATCATTATATGAAAAGTCATCCATAGCAATATAAAATAATATAAAATAAAAAAATAATGAAGTTGAGTTTACAAAACTGTGATCTCCCAAATAATCAAAATAAAACAATATTGAGTTACGACTGAATATAAAAAGTGTTTATAATAGTATATACCCTCTAACACAATTAAAGACATACTCTGAAGTCTCAACTAAGTTGAAATATCTGATGATGATAACGTTCTACGAACGGTCACCTAAGAATTTGCGCACGGAAACATATTCCAAACGTGAGCTTATAAGCTTAGTGTTACATTAATAATTGTACTATGCTATATGCGTTCACTAAATGAGCATGTTAGTGGTAGGCGTATGAAGGCATAGGATGTTGATATGACGTGTTAGGATAGGCATCATGGTGTGGCTGCGGGTTCTGCATCTCGGAGCACCCACCCTTTTAGTCTTCCTAAAATACCCTTGGGTATTTAGGGTGAGATCCGAAATTGCATCGAAAATGAACACACTACCAACTTACTCCGTCGAGTCTTGGGACATCTGCTCTCAGCTAGCACCTAAAGTGCCTTAGCACTGATTGATATATATTTGAACTGAATGATCGTCGTTTTCTAAAGTGACTATGGTGTCTCGACTATTTCTTGAGCATCAAACAAGGCTAGTTTTATGTCAACCTGGTTGTTAATATTTCTAGTTGTTCCGAGTTTATTATTGTTCTCACTTGTAGTTTTATGGTATTCTGGTATAATTGGGTCTCTTAAATTTATCCTTTACCCTTGGGTTTCTTACCAAAAACTCTTCATGGGTATCGATACTGAGCTCTTTCAGTATCAGTACTAACCCCTGAGCATCAATACTAACATCTGGGCATCGATACTGACTAGCTATTGAGAACTGAAATGGAAGGGAGTAGTATCAATACCTTAGTTTGAGTACGTATACTTCTGGTATGTGGTATTGATACAACCATATCGATACTAAATTTAACTTTGATGTTTGAAAAAATGCCTTAGTATCGATACCCTATCGGTAGTATAGGTACTCTACCCCAGTATCGATACTATCATGAGTGTTGACATCAAAATTGCTTAATTGAATATACTAAGTGAACTTAGTATCGATATCACCTTGCGAGTATCGATACTTTACCTATAGTATTGATACTCATTGTATGAGTATCTATACTTCTAGCCCAAAATTCTTTTGTTTCTAGCAACTGAAGAACAATATCGGTACTGTTCTTTCAATATTGATACTCGTGCCCATAAATGCTCTGTTTTAGGCACGAAATTGACCCTTTAATTTACCCCAAACGTCCTACTAAGGTCCCCAAATGTTATTAGAGTGTTATATTTGATAATAGGGGTCATAATAGGTCCATAAACATACTGAAAAACATTAAATGTTGAATCTACGATGAACATGCTTTATAACTCATGCAAACTAACCAAACACACCTAGTGTCCTACATGTAGTATAGTTGAGTTAGAAGTGAGTTACCTTGATGTCATAAGTTGTTGGAAACACCCAAGCTCAACCAAGTGCTTGTTTTTCATGTCCTTTAACCTTGGAGCCTTCTTCAACTTCTCGTACTAGACAAAATCATGCATAAGGGTTACTAATGTGTTTGAGATCTTAGAAAGGAACACTTCCTAAGGCTTGAGTTCTTCAAAAAACGAGTTGGTTTATTATGAGATTCTAAAACCCCACTAAAACTCATGTTTTGGCTATCATGATGGAATGAAGAGATTGAGGGATTGAATTAAAACTTGAGATGAATAGGATCCGATTCTTACCTCTAGAGTCTTAGGCCAAGCTTGTTAGGTCACCAAGTTGCCACCTTTAAGACACAAAGGAAGACAAGGGGGAAGTTTGAACGAGGAAGGAGACAAGGGTGAAAAAAAAAGACAAGAGCTCTTCCACGTTGACAT